ACCTGAGTGACCCCAAAAATTCAACCAGAGAACTCTTTCAGCTTATAAACACTTTCAGCAAAGTGGCTGGACACAAAATTAACTCAAAAAAAATCAGAAGCCCTCCTGTATACCCAAGACAAAAGGGCCAAAAAAAGACACCAAGGAAACAACACCCTTCACAATAGCCACTAATAATATAAAGTACCTTGGGGTGACTCTAACCATGCAGGTGAAAGACCTCTTTGAAAAAAACTCCAAGTCTCTGAAGAAAGAAATCAAAGAAGCTTTTACATTATTAAGTAATGTTCATTAAAGTAAAAGAAAGACACTATGCAGTTGAAGCTAATGTGGTCCATCTCTATTAGGCCAGCTGTCAGTGATGCAGAATGCAGAAGCCACCACAGCTGAAGAAGAAAGAACTAAAAGGATCTATCTCAACACTGGGTCTTAATCAGCTGGAAAGGCTCATTTGTTGCCTAGTGACAAATATATGCTAGCTAGTTCTATACCATTTAGGCCATGCAAAATCATCTTGCTAAGAAAGTAAAATTATGACTCTAGGACTTCATTCAGCATGAAAAACTATATATTCATGTTGTCTTGTTTATATTGTGAAAAGTTACTTCAGAACAGAGTGGCAAAAACAATACAAAATAAATAGCCACAGTAGGTCATTTTGGCATCTTTTGTGTTTGAACTAAATGGCAATTACTGAAATTCAGTAGAGAAAGCCATTGACAACCTAGGGCGTTACTCTTGGCAGCCTTCCAGATTCATTAATTAAAGTTCTTTCAGAAAGGTATGATGCCACTTTTAAAATTTCTTCCAAGAAAAGCTACAGCTTGCATGGACAAAACTTAGGCCTGAAAGAATGGTGTCTTGTTAGTAGGGGTTAATTGATTATTGCACCATTTGCATAAACTGGCCACTACACAGTTAAAGGGTAGATCAGGTTAGACACTAGGTGCATCCCAGGGCCCACCAGAAGCCTTTGGCACTCCTCAAGTGCAGTGAAAGAGAATGTGCAAGGTGAACAGGAAGTGACCTTCAAAACGGCTACATCTGGGTAAGAGGTTGGGGAGGTGTAGCTCCTGACGCATGACAGACCTCAGTGGACCCCTTTTCACTACCAGAGGAACAAGAGCAAAGAGAGGCGTGTCAGGAAGGCAGTATTGCACCTCTCAGGAAAGCATCTGCCTCAGAGACTAGCATAAGAGAAACGGGGTCTTACAGCAAAGTTAAATTTGCAAGAAAATAAATGGGAGTCACAGACTTTATATTAAGTCCAGGACAGCCAAGGCTACACAGAGAAACCTTGTCTCAATAGGTCTCAAAACAAAACAAACAATCAAAAGCATAAATATTCTGAAAATATCTTTTTTGAACACATAGAATAGTAACACAAACAGTGAAGAAACATGGTGCCTAAATAAATATTACTGGTACGTTTTCCCAATGAAAATGCAAGAAAAATATTTAATATAAACAGTAGGATCGTGATGTAAATTAAGCTTAAAATATTTTTAATTATTTGGACCCATAAGTCTGTCTGTTAGTATACATACACATATGTATATAAGGTCATGTATGTGCAGGATATATATATGTATGTAAATGCATACACATTAGCAAACAGATTCTTACACCATCCTTTTATGCTAACCCATCGGCCATTTCTCTGAGGTTTTAAAGGCAGTAATAATATGAACTACTTGAACATAAAATAAGTCAACAAACTTTCACTCACTTCTTTAATACTAAACTACCCAATAGACTTTACCAACAGTAGAGGTAAGTCTGCCAACTGAGTGAGATCTTTACCATGGTCAAGGTCAAGAACACTAGTTACATTTTTTTGTCCCCTAAACACAGTCTTCTAAACTCAAGAAATTACTGCAGAGCACAGTAAAAGTGACAGACGTTCTGTATCCTACTGGGTCATATTGCAAATATATCTGGGCACAGGGGTCTTTTCTGAGACTGAATCTCCAGCTAAGGACCATAATGGATATAACCTTGAACCCCTGCTCAGACGTAGCCCATGGCAGCTCAGCATCCAAGTAAGTTTCTCTAGTAAGGGGAACAGGGAGTATTTCTGACATGAACTCAATGGCTGGCTTTTTGACCTCCACTCACCCCAGGGGGAGGAGCAGCCTTGCTAGGAGGAGGACATTGCAGCCAGTCCTGAAGATACATGATAAACTAGGGTCAGATGGAAGGGAAGGAGGACCTCCCCTATTAGTGGACTTGGAGAGGGGCAGGGATAAGGGAGAGAGGGTGGGATTGGGAGGAAATGAGGGAGGGAGCTACAGCTGGGATACAAAGTAAATAACCTGTAATTAATATAAAAAATAAAAATTATTAAAAAAAGAAAAATGGGACCTTACTTAAACTACCTAAACATTTTAGACAACTTACACTTTCAAATTATTCAAAACTTACAGTCCCACGCATGTTGGTTAATTCTGTAATTTATTCAAGTAAACTCCTTTCCAAATGATGACCTTCAAGGCAGGATTAACCACCACACAGACTATCAAAGATTTCCAGGGATGATTTAGTGACTTTGTACTCAAGGGACTCTCATTTTATTTTATTTTTTTTCTTTCTTTATTTTTTTATTAGTTACATTTTATTAACTCTGTATCCCAACTGTATCCCACTCCCTTATGTCCTCCCAAACCCTCCCTCCCTCCCTCATCTCCTCCCTGCCCCTTTCCAAGACCACTGATTGGGGAGGACCTTCTCCCCTTTCATCTGACCCTGTTTTATCTGGTATCTTCAGGACTGGCTGCAAAGTCCTCCTCTGTGGCCCAGCAGGACTGCTCCTCCCTTCGGGGGGAGGGAGGACAAAGAGCCTGCCACTGAGTTCCTGTCAGAAACAGTCCTTGTTCCCCTTACTATGGGAAACCAATTGGTTACTGAGCTACCACGGGCTTCATCAGAGCAGAAGTTCTAGGTTATATGCACACATGGTCCTTGGTGGAGTATCAGTCTCAGAAAAGACCCCTGTGCCCAGATATATTTGGTCCTGGTGGAGCTCCTGTCTTTTCCATGTCATACAAACTCCCCCTTCTTTCATATGGTTCCCTGCACTCTGCTGAAGGTTTGGTTATGAGGACTCTCATTTTATTATTGAAAACTCTGACAAAGTTTTAATAATCATGATGGGTCAATTGTTGTATATGCACATTAGCATACAAACAAATCTATACGCACACACATATATATGTAGCATTGTGTCTATATCATAGACTATAATCCTTCCCTTGAACTATAAACAAGTTTATGTTAAGAAAATATAGAAATTATAGCTTTGTTTTCAGTAGTGCTTGTTTTATAGCTATTTCAAATAAACGCATTGTGTTGACACTATAAGGCTCTTCATTAAAGGGTACTTTTTTTGTTTTTGTTTTTAACAGCTTAAATAAATGCAGCTGTACTGGTTAAGCAAAATTTTACCCTCATGGTGAATGCACAAAAACCAACTGCCTTTCTAAAACTATGAAGAAATTAAATTTTGTTTTGTGTTTTATATTTATGCTGAAGGTAATTTGTAGCAATAAGAATAGTTAACACCCATGAAATGGTAAGATGTAGTCACCTTTCAAAATGAATGTTAGTAAATATGATTCATCACAGCTGAAAACAAAACAAAACAAAAAACCCTACATAATCCTGCAGTGAAAGTACTGTCATAGGGTGCTAGCAATGGCATGGCAACCCTCTGTGTTTGTAAAGTGAATGACAAAACTTTCTATGCTCGTTCTTTAAAAAAATAGTTCTTCCAGGTCCATCCCTTTACCCAGGATATGGAAAGGGTTGGAGCCAGGATACCTGGACCTGGGGATGGTGGGATGAGGGAATGGGGGAAGGGAAGAGAAAGACAAAGTGAGGAAATTCTATTTATATTAAAATGTATTTTTTAAATTAGTGCATAAATATTAAAAAAAAAACCTTAAGATTTCTCTGACATAAGTTTCACCCACGCTTCTTCAGCTCATAAGAATGGACAGTGAACTGAAAAACTACCTAAGTAGTTTAATTTGTGTAAAAGTTTAGGGCAGTTATTTTAAGTTTCAAAATCTTATTTACCTAAGAGACCAGTGAACATTTAACTCTTGACTGCCTTATATCCAAGCATTCTAATAGCCTTAGTTAATACTAATGCTTATCCATCTTATCCATCTTATACAACTCTATTATTAGTTGTAGAGTCACCAACTGCATTTTGGTTATTACATTGTGGAGAAAGTAATTTTGCATCTCTTTACGGTGTCTCTTCATTCGTCAGACACATATTTGTCTCCTACAGCTCCCAGAAATGCACTCTACTATATCATTAGATAACATCACCAACAGACATATAGAAAATCTAAATACATCATATGTGAATCACTAATTTTATCTGGCAATATTATTAACTTACACAACTTTTTTAACCATTAATATTCATATTGTAGATGAATCTAATCAACTAAAGTTCTTTTTGAAAATGTATCAAAGACTACGGCATGGTAGCACATGCCCCAAATCTCAGAACCTGGGATGCTCAGACAAGAGAATCATGAGTTCCCTTGCCAGCCTGGGCTACACAGCAAGACTGTGAATCACAAGTAAAGTAATATGATTTTAAACAATAAACTATATATACGACAGAAGAATTATAGGAATGAGAACTATGTATTATAACTTTTATGTAGACTTTCTATATGAAAACTAAAGAAACTTCCAAGCTTGGATCTTTAATTTATGAAAGACTAGAGCCACTGAAACTTTAATTTTCTAGCATAGTCCATCTCTTACTTTCAGTATAATAACCCACAAATGCATAAAAAACCACAAGAATTCACAATAATGTGTGGATGAAATAATTATAACCTCTTCTGATCTACCAATGCTCATTTCTTTTCCTCAGTACAAACACATTTTATTGCTCAGAAATTTGAGGATATCTTCAACTGCTCAGGATAAAGTGATACAAATTCTCATCCACATGTAATGTAGGTATTGCTTACCTCAGTCAAGTGGGGTGTTGGGTTAAATCCACAGAGATTGCACACTTGATTCTTGCACTCTGTGCAGATGTTGAAGTTAGGAGGATCCTGAGAACCTATGTTGAGTTCAGTTTTGCAGAGAGGACAGGTTGGTTTGGGCTTGGTGTTCTTGTCTGGCTTGTGGGTAAGGACAGGCTTTTCAGGCTCAGAAGGTAGTTTGGAGACCTTCCCAGGTGGTGGCTTCATATCTTTCTCTGTTCTCTTCACTGTTGGAGCTTGCTCGGGTTTGGACTCCAATTTTTCGGCTGCTGGGGCTTTTGCGTCCTTCTTCACAGGTGTTACTTTGGCAGGTGCTGGTGGGAGCTGACCTGTGGACTTAGGTGGCCCCTGAGCAGCAGGAGTCTGAGATGCAGTAGGGCCTTGCTTTGCTGGGGCACCTGGCCCAGTGTGTGGATGAGCTCCTGGCTGGCCTGCTGTGGAAATTAAATTTGAAGCTTGGCTAAAGATGGATGCTCCAAACCCAAATAGTTTGCCGGTCACAGTTTCTTGAGGAGTTGTGGGTTGTGATTTGGGGGCATCGGTGATACTACCCAAATTCAAACTGAACCGTCTTGACTGTTCCTGAGGCTTTGGGGGCTGCTGGGATGAGGGTGCAGCTTGGCCAGTGGTAGATCGTGGACCAGAGGGTGTTGGTGACTCTTTTGGCACTGGCTTCGCATCTGGTTTAGGACTCATCTTGGGTTGTGCTTTCTTAGGCTCTTCCTTCTTCGGAATTGGATCAACGTGTTTGGGATCCTTGCTCTCAGAACTGGGCCTGGGATGTGAAATAATTTTTGAATCTGATGCAGGCCTGGGAATGGCTTTAGAATCAAATGGGGTGAGTTTTTCTCCTGTTGGTGGGAAACTCTGTGAGGGTTTGGCAGAGTCTGTTTTCAAAGGAGGGGCTGTTTTCTCCTGAGCCTGTGACTGCACTTGAGAGCTCAGACTTTCAGGCTTTGCTGTTGCTGCTGACGCAGACTGGGTGTCTGCTTGTGGCTCTGCTATCTTGGGCTGCTTTGGTTTAACATCTGCAGCAGGAACCTTGGCTTGTTCAGGCAGAGGTGCAGAAGGCTCCTTGGGAGGGGCTGGTTCAGGTAAGGCCTCTGCCACCGGAGGCTGGGGGGCTGTCGTGGGGGCAGGTCCATGAAGAGTTGGCTGTTTCTGCAGTGGTGGTGGCTTTTTTGGTGCCTTTGGGCTGTCCTGTTTAGGCGGAGGCTCCTTCTTTGGGGAAGCTGGTTGCAATGGTCCAGATGGTTTGCTGGCTGTGGCTGTAGGTGCAGGTGCAGCCTTTGGACTCGGCTGCGGTGAGGATGGAATCGCAGCTAGTTCACCTCCTAGAGCTCTCTGCATCTGACAGTTTAAACAGAGCCACTCTTTGATCTGAAAATAACATATAACCATCATTACTAAGGTAACACTGTAACCCCCCACACACACACACACACAAACTGTTTTAAAAGCATGCCTGTTGCCATTTATAACTCTCTTTGTTCCAAGAATCAATTATAGTCATTACTTTAATCAATAGATTGAAACATGCAAATTTTAACTTTATGGAAGATAATGAACCTCATAGACTAAAGCATACAGTATTATTTAAGGAAAATAAACAGGAAAACAACATGATTCTATTCTACCTCTATATTGTCATTCCTCATTGATGATTTACTAAGGTGGGTTAGTCCCGGAAATAGAAGGTAATATATAATAAAAACATGATTTTTAACTAATTAGATTCCACTAATATGTTATGCTTTGTGTTGCTATGTATTTTTTCTGATGTTGGCTCATCATCAGATTTTAGTTATACATCCCAGGGCAGGGTTGTCAAATTATGAAAACATTGCTGATTTCATAAATTAGAGAAGTATCATTTCCACTTCCAAGTCAACGTATTTACATATCTGAAAATAAAATTTAAGCAAGTTAAGTTAGAAAGAGACTATTTACTAAGGCTAACTCTAGTTATCTTAAATAGCATGATTTAACCAAGTAAACTTTTGTTTCCTTGTAAATTTTATCAAGATGTTTAGAAGGTAAGTGTTTTAGAGAGCAGATAATACTATGAATATGTTTCTGCTATAGAAGCAAGGGGGAGAGAGTGAACAAGAGGAAGGTACATGGGTGAAATACAAACACACACACATATATACAATCATACCTGTATTTCACATTTCATTGATTGTGAACAAGTGTGAATATTATTAATATAATAATTCATAAGATAATTTAAAAGCATACCTATTAACCATTTTATATGATTCCAAAAAAAATGTTTACCAGACAATATTTTAAATATTAGGTGTCTGAAAAAAGAACCAAAATTCCACACCCACAGGTGGTTGTAACTACAACGAGGTAAAAAGTCAGAAAAAAGGCATATTAGGGCATAAGTTAATGTTAATAGTTTAGGCATAGAGAAGAAGCATCTGAGAATAGTATGATGATGAATCCTTCTCTCCTGCTAGTTTCTGCCTGTGCTGGTGCCTGTAGAAAATTCTGAGCAGATGGACTTGAACTCAGCAGTAAAACTGTAAGTTCTTCTACAGTGTGACTGTTAGGGCTTCTGCCCATCCATGGTCCTCAAGTGCATCTTTGGCCAACTTTGAAATTATCATACTACCACAACATATATAATGTCTGATGTACATAAACTCAGAGAAATGGCCACAATTAAGTGACGTATTGTTTAAGTGTTACACCTACTTAAATACAGAAAGGAGTTAGGGAAAGAGATAGGACACATGTGTGGCTGTCTATTAAGAGAATTCTCTTAGCACACCCTTTCCATGAACACGTGTCACTGTCTTATCTTTTATCTCTTTAATGCATTACTTTACTTTTATACACAATACATGCGATATTTCATCCTTCTATATTCTGCTTCACTGCTAGAGTAAGAGTTGAAGTCATTGCTTACAGTTATGATAATTCAAACAACTTTTTATCCTTTTAAAAAAAAGAACCTGTTTTTAATTTAATTCTACTGGCCATATCTCATGAATACCTAAATGATTTTTATGCCAGCACTTCAAAATCTACACACACACACACACACACACACAGTGCATGTGTGCCTTAATACTGAGAAAATGAATAAGCTCACAGCCAGCTTCAATATTCACGTAATTAACCAAGGAAATTGTAAGCCAACTTTGACTTTTGTGCCAGTTATGTTCTCTACAAAGTGCACAGAGATAAAAGGGCATACGGTAGAAATGATGTCACTGTCCTCAGTTATCCGAGTTAAAATTTTTGTCATATGTTTACTACAGTTACTATACAATTTCTCTGCATTGGGTGTAAAAAATAATTTCCCATTTATTCTTTTTCTTTTCCAAAGACTCTCTCTCTCTCTTTCTCTCTCTCTCTCTCTCTCTCTCTCTCTCTCTCTCTCTTATTGGCCCTCACAACTCAAATAATATATACTTCCATAAGATAATATTTAAAATGAACAAGGGAAGTGATTATTTCTAGCTTTTACTATCAAAATAATCTCTTGATGTTTTTATGCTAAAATTACATAGTTACACTATGGCAAGATCTATGCCCAAACTCCCAAAGATATTAAGCAACCAATGGGAAAGACTTCCTTATGTTTCTCTTGATCCCCAAAGTGTATTTGACCTTCTCAGTATCATGAACACAAAACAATTTAGCTGATATAAATTTCAAGAATTAAAAATAATGTCTAACTTTGCTTACTGTTGCATCTCGTTTTATGCTGTGGATTACCCTTGTTAACACAGCCAGCACAGAAGCTTTAATATTAATCATGTGGTTCCATCCAATTCTCCTTAGAACCCCTATCTGGGTTCTGTCTGAAACTCTGGACGTAAACAGTCATCCTTGAATGTACTGAAACTGAAAAGAATGTGCTATAGTTGCATAGCTGCAGATATTTCTGTATCTGGAAACAGTAACTTTCTTTTTTTTCCCATTCACAGTTAAACCCTTGTCTCTAATGCTGGCTGCGCAGAGGTCCCTGCTACACCGTCGTCATCAGCTGAAACACTTGCTGCCACTTGTACTTGTGACCATGTCTCTGACAATTGCCCCTTCCTACCTTATGAGTGTTTCTTTATTCTGTGATAGCCATGAGTGGAAAATGTTAGCCCCTACTAGACACTGAATGCTAAACATAGAAATCCCAGTACTTAGAATGGGCTAACTAATCATTTTTTAAAAAGAAACATATTAGTCCTCCTCACTTCTTCCTGCTTTCAGAGAGATGTCGGAAACAACCTCCCAGGTTACTTGTCGCAAGCAGTACCCCTCTCTGACAGAATATTTTAGTCATCTACATCTGTTCGATAAAACGGGAAGTAAAACAATAATAAATAGTGGTACCAGAGGAGCTTTCAACTGTCATGTCTTAGAAGTACTCTTACTTTTAATGTTAGTATTTAAAAAAAGAATATAACATGATTAAATAGAGCTCAAGCTGAAATGTCCTAAATTCTAGATTACATGAGACAAACAACAAAATAGTCAACTTTAAGTTCCTGACAGGCTATTTTTACAGAAAAATCCATAATGAATGTCAAGATATAGAAACACGTTTATGTAATGATCTAATCTAATTCGATTAGCTCCCTGGATTGGGAGGCTTAAAAAAAAAACAAAACAAAAAAACAGCATAATAGTGTTCATTCATTTAGTCTCCGGACTTAATATGCTTCATAAGTATGGGTAAGGTAGAGGTCAGAAAGTGCTTCTGCTCATTCTCAAATCTCTGTGTGTATTAATATAGATCTACACATAATAACCTAATATCTCCCTGAATAATATGGGCTCAAGATTTCCTTTCTGCTGAGCCCTTGTAGAAGATCTCAAATACACTCAAAAATGCACTTTCATTAGCTAAGGCTGTAGGGAAATAATCAACATCTTATTCAGATCACTCAAGAGATTTAATTGTGACTATCACATATAGAATTTCAATTAATGGATGCCAATTTAAACATTGTACCAAAACTACTGATTGCCAAAAAAATATACTATGACTTTCATGCCCACAATAGTAAAGACACTCAACTTGATACATCTAGCTAATAATAACAAATGTAGATATTAAGAGACTCAGAAGAAAACCCACATTCCTATTCAGAAGTATTTTTTTTATATTTTTTCAGATGGCAATTTTTTTTTAATTCTTTGAGGTTTTGTAAACACATGTGTTTAGCTTCACAGTAGAATGCAAACTTCTCAAAGAATAATGGTTAAAACAAACAAACAAAAAGAATACTTCCACTAAAACAAGATTTAAATCCACCTAAAATGTATAATGGAGTCTTTGTTCAACTTAGATAGCTGCTGTACTTGAAATAATGGACCATCAAAAGAACGACGTCAGGAACTGATAGCTGCTGGTGTTCATATTAGTTACTGGTCTGTTTTTCCTCAATCATACTTTCATCATGACTTTGTAGAATTGCTTGGGGTTTTATTCTTGATTCCTACAACTAATCATTCTGCAAATCATGACTCTTAAATGGACTATTCACTCCGTCAAGTTGGTGCTGTCATCTCTGAGAGGAGCTTGTGATTCTGCTCACTGTAAGGTCATGTGTCTTGACCTAAAAGCAACCCAGCTTTCTACATCATCTCATTTCTTCTTTTATCACAACTATTGCAGCAACTACAGTCTGCCACATCTTAACTACCAATTTGAAAATTTGTATTTTAATTAAAATACATAACATCTTTATGTATTTTCTAATTATCACCCCCCCCCTTCTACTTTAAAAGAACTGGCCGTTTACCAGGTATACTCATATCTCTGTGTTGGGTAACATAAATGTGTGGTATATTTAATGATAAACCATTACAAAGTTTACTCCTGTATCTCATTAATTTATTTCAAAAGATGTATTGAAAACATGACCTAATTTTGAATGCCATAGAAAGACATAATAAATCCAGACAACAGGTCTGAAAACACAGCACTACAAAAGAGAATCCAAGCTGGGGCTTCATAGCAGATTGCAGTTGCTGCTAGTCAAGGACCGCTGAGAGCTCATGACACGTGTGACTGACGAAGACACTCGCACCCAGCAGCACTTTGGCTGCAGATGGCTCACTGTGGTTGTAATCCTTAGCTATGCATGTCACGGCATAATTTATTTCAATTAAAAGGTAGATAATGGGATTCCTCAGAACTGTGGTATTATTCTTTGTAACTTGATAAAAATCTTTATGTAGCACTTAAAGTAGCTGGATGTTGCTTCTCTTAAACTCTGTTTTTGTTTTTTGTGATTTCTTTTTTTTATTTTTATTGATTATTATTTATCACAATTTATTCACTTTGTATCCCCACTACAGCCCCCTCATTTATCTCCTCCCAGCCCCACCCTCCCTCCCTCTTCTTTCCCTATGCT